AACTAAAAACTGCCACAAAAGCACATTATTAAGGATTATATTTGTAACATGGAGTTTGGTCAATGTTTGACAGACCAGCGGTTAGAAATCAGTTGATCTCAGTATGGAACTAGTGATGACTGGGCCGGTTTCCAATGGGAACCAGGATTGGCCAAGTTCTTATGCATCTAGCATTTTTCATTAGAGAACTGGGGGATTGGACTTAAGCTGAATCGTCCAGTTCCCAGTTCCCAGTTTTTTGTTTTTTATTAACTTTTTATTTTTCATTTTTTTATGTGCAATCAGCGAACCTTATGCATAGAGTAAACTATATTTGTATTGCCTTGCCGCCCAATAAATTCTTATACCTCTCCAATGTGAGGCTAAAACTTATAAGCTAGACACATGAAGTGGTAGAGCGAATCACTTATATATTATCCTGGTTTTCAGTAATCTCTAACACCTCCCTGATATAGTACTAAAACTTGTTAGTAACATATATACAAACGCTTTGGCATTCATTTGTAAGAAATTTTGCTAGCTATTATATAAGCTACCCATGACTATAGTATAAAGCTTTAACAGACTTATATTAAGCTATATCATAAAAAGTGTTCGTATATAGCTTGTAATATTTATTGAAATATTTCCTCTTCCTGTCGGTCAAATTCTCGGCCAAAAACGAAATGGTAGGAGAGATCTTCATAATTTACACAAAATTAGGGCTTGCTGTGCATATGAAAAACCCTTTGTTCCTTGTGGCAACTCAATGAAACACTTCATAGTAGCACCGGTGATAATTGGTAACATTTTCTGTTTCTTTTCCAGTTTAATAGTGACACTACTTATCCCTTAGGTGCTGCATTAGTTGTACAAATTGGTTTAGATGATCGAGGATTAGAAATTCTGAAATTTGTCCAAGAAACCCAAACAAGCTAGCATATCTATGTGTTTTTCTTGGTAAGATGCAATTTAGCTCTTATGCCCAAGATACTCAGGAAAGAAAGAGTGCCTGTATTTTGAAGAAAGTGATAGATTTCGAGAAAACAAAGATGAAAGAGAGAGTCAAACATAAATAGAATGTATGGCCAATGCTTATAAACAAGAATAAAACCGTAAAAGCGTCTATATACAATATATATTTAGTGCAGACCAAACTATCCCTACACAAATATACAACGATAATAAATGACAAAAGAAATATATACAAAAATAAAATTTTATTTATTATTACCACTCCTCAAGTTGATGCAGACATGAGGAAAGCACTAACTTATCAACAAGAAAATCATGGCTTTTTTGAGTAATTGATTAGTCAAAATATCAGTCGTTTGGTAGTAGAAGAAACATTAGGGAGAGATAATGTGACATCAAGGTAGCGGTCACGAACATAATGGCAATCTACATTAATATGCTTTGTCCTCTCATGAAAGATTAGATTAGATACAATTTTAATCGTACTTTGATTATCTGCTTGTAAAGGTGTAGGATCTGAAGTAGTGATACCGAAGTCATTGAGAAAAGCACAAACCCAAATAATCTCACTAGCAATAGCGGACATAGCATGATACTCAGCTTCAGTACTTGACTTGGAGACAATATCTTGTTTTTTGTTCTTCCATGTTATTAAAGAAGATCTAAGAAGTACACAATATCGTATAGGAGAGTGGCAAGTATCTGGAGCACTTGTCCAATCTGCATCAGTATATGCACTAAGATCTAAAGTGGACGTGGAGGTAAAAAATAACCTACGATTGAAAGTGCCTCGAACATAGCATAATATTAAGTCAACCGCTGATAGATGTGGTTGCCGAGGATCTGAAACAAATTGGCTCACAACATAGACTACATATACATTATCTAGGCATGTCATAGTGAAATAGATGAGGGAGCCTACGAGTTTGTGATACATTATAGGCCTAGGAAGAGGATCTCCAATATGCACAAAAAATTTAACATTGAGCTCCATAGGTGTATCCACAACCTTCATGTCAGTCAAACGGGCACTGGAAGTAAGATCAACTGCATACTTCTATTGATAGATATAAATACTACGTTTAGAACGAGTGATTTCAAGGCTAAGGAAGTAAGATACTTCCCCAAGATCCTTCATTTGAAATTTTTTTTGCAATCGTAGCTTCACATCATTGATGGAAGTAAAATCATATCCAGAAATGAGACTATTATTAACATATAGAAAGATAATACAAATGATATGCTTTGTGGTATGAATAAACATGAAACCAGATACAAGAATAACATCCGTAAAATACTCAAACCATGCACGAGGAGTTAGTTTAAGAATATAAATGGCCTTACGAAGTCGACATACCATTGATGCATTTAGAGTAGCAAACCAGGTGGTTGGCACATATAAACTTTATCTTAAAGTTCTCCATTAAGAAAAAGCATTTTTAACATCCATCTGCTTCATAGGCCCGTCACGAATTGAAGCTAGTGCAAAAAGAGTACGAATTGTGGTCATCTTAGGAACATGAGCAAAAGTTTATTCATAATCAATGTCATATTCTTGGGCATAACCTTGTACAACTAACTGTGCTTTGTGCTAGTCAAGGATGCCATCAGCCCATAACTTAACCTTATAAATCCATTTACTACCAATAGAATATTTGTTAGGGGGCAGTGAAACTAAATCCCAAATGTGGTTAGCCTCTAAAGCTGCAATTTCCTCATTCATAGCCATGTGCTAATATTGAGGTTTAGATGCACAATAATAAGATGGATCATGAAAGAAAGGGTGTTGGAGGAAGCAAATAAAAGGCTTACGTAATGTTGCAAAAAAAAAGGATAAAAGTATATCAAAAGAAAAAAAACAAAAGAAAGGAAGTCGAGAGAAAAAACGGATAAAAAAAAGCAAGAGCAAAAGAACAAACAAATGATGAACTTTCGCTCTCTAGAGTTGAAACAAATAGATATCTCTCTTTACTGTCAAGTTTGAGAAAATAACACCAAAAATTAATCCATTAACTTACCTTCACAAAAGAATATAATAATCTATTATCAACAATGAATGAACTAATGAATAATTTGCATGAGCAGTAGCAGGCAAAGAAATAATTTGATATTTAGTGCTCTAATACCATGGTAGATTTCGAGAAAACAAAGATGAAAGAGAGAGAGACATAGAGAAAAATAGAATATGTGGCCAATTCTCATAAATAGTAATGAAACCCTAAAAGGGTTTATATGTAATATATATTTAGTGTAGATCAAACTATCCATACACAAATATACAACGATAATAAAGAACAAATGAAATATATACAAAAATTCCATTTTATTTATTATTAGAGAGTAAGCTTGCATTTCGAAGATGGTGTGTATTGTGTGCAAAAGCTCTAAACCTAACTGGTCGATTTTTGGTAAATAAAGTACGAGAAATAAAACATGAAACACATATTATAAGAATACAAAGACTTACGTGGTTCACCCTAAGAAAGGCTATAGGCACATCAAACTGAAATCCACTATACCAATGAAAGTTATATTAAAGATTTTGAAACATAGAGTTACCACTATAACCCTCAACAAAACCCAGTCGAGCAAACCCTTTTAAACCACTCGCCATTCCTTCCCTTTACATCTAACAACCATTACCAACAACACCAGATAGAGATGTGAGAGCAAAGTGAAACTGATTTTTTCTCTAACTAAAAGGGAAAACAACCTAAAATCTCAATGAAAACCGTTTTTCTACAAGAAACAAGCCTCTCAATCATTATGAGGTACAATCATAATGTTTCTCTCTATCGGAAGCTCTTTTCTCTTAGATAAAATTGGATCTTATGCACAGGAGGCTCTGCCTACCTCTCTAGAGAGGAACCACAATTCCCATATATATATATATATATATATATATATATATATATATATAAGTTATGAATCCATACAAAATAAGAACCTTCTTATAGATGTCACATATATTTCAAAACCAAGAGATATATCAAAGAGTCCTAATCTTTTTGGATTTCTATTTTTTTTAAGAAACGTACCACTATCAATCTTAATCTCAATCCCACATAAAATGATATTTCTTTATAGAGGTGATTTTGGATAGCACCAAATCCAACAGTGTGCCACTTGAACGGCAAAATTTCCCTCACATGGAAAACAAAGTTCGTAGACCATGTTATGAAATGCGTAATTATTTATCCATCCTATTTTAGCATTGAAAGAAGTTCAATGCATCTTGAATAAGAGGGGCGAAAATTTCAAGAACCGAACATATATGGGTATGCAGACCTTGGATTTCTTGCCAATAATGATTGAAGAATATATGTGTAACAAGGAGATAAGTGGATTGAGTATTTTGTAGAATCTGGTATTTGAAAACTATTATATTGTGACTTTTGTGCGCACGGCCCCTTGCTTAGGGTGTTGAGGGCCAGAGCAAAATGTCAGATTATTGTGCTTCGCCCCCTTAGGACCAAGTGTTGTTCACATTCATTTCCGTTTAGGATTTCGGTTCAAAATCGTTCGAGCGTTGTGTTTGAGTGACATGGTTTCATATAGAGCATTATGGATGAGTTTCCGATCATAGGTTTGAAGTTAAAACATCTTTGCTTGGAATTGTCTTTTCGCCGACCATGCATGAATTTTCTCACTCGCATGGCCTTTAATCAAGTTTCACACAGAAAAAGCACCTTTTATAAAGCCAAACTCATGTCGTTTTGTCATTAGAGTCAAGGAATATTCATAATCTAGAGATTATTCTTTGGTGGTAATTTTTCCGATGGCTTGCTCCTTGTGGATGGAAGGACTTCCATAGAATTGGAGACTTTGTGTCATGAAGAGAAACGAGAATATAAAGCAGAACAGGTTGGATATTTCAAATAAAATGTAATTGAGAATATCTTCCAAAGATAAATCTAAGGGACTTAAATAGGAATCAAGATTAAAAAGGAAATTTTGAAAGGGGCTCTTTTATATATGGGAGTCTAATAATTACACAAAAGCCATAACATATTGAAGTTTGAAGTCTTCCATGGAGCTAGGTACTGTACACTTAAATAACAGCACATATAGCTATTTGAATATTATATCACACATGAATTCCAAGATACCCAAGCATGAAAAGTTTACAGAAATCCAACGGGAAATCTGAAAGGAACTATGTTCCTTTACCTAACCTCTAATAACATGCTCCAACGAATGTGACTCTGTTCCTAATTATCCTTCCCCAGCAAATGGATGGCAGTATGGTCCGCACAATTTGCACTTGTTACCCCCTGACCATCAATAAAACTTCAATAGGCACATCACAACTGAAAAACAGAAGTTATGCTCATCGATCAGTTATATGGTTTGGCAACGACAACTAAGTGTTCTTTCCTATGCATTGTTATACCAAGTACTTCTGTCAAGTCGAATTCTTCTGGTCTCACCCCGGGGGGTAGCTCCCAGTTGAAGTGGTAGAGGAGATTAGCAAAGGCAAGCTCCACTGTGGCTGCCCCAAATGTAATGGCAGGGCAACTCTGACGACCAACACCAAATGGTAACAACTCATAGTCTTGGCCCTTAAAATCAATCAAACTATTCATAAATCGCTCAGGGCAAAACTCTTCAGGGTTATCCCAAGATTTGGGATTTCTTCCGATTGCCCAGACATTGACAAAGAATTGGATTTTTGCGGGAATATTGTACTCACCTATCTTCACATCTTCCATGGATAAATGAGGAAGCAACACCGGGGCAGCTGGGTGTAACCGAAAGATCTCTTTTACTACAGCTCTTAAATAATCTAGTTCTTGCAAATCGCTCTCCTCGATTTGTTCTTTGTGTCCAATTTTGCTCCTAATGTGGTCTTGGGCTTTCTTCATTGCCCTTGGATTCCTAATGAGCTCTGTCATGCCCCAGTCGAGGGTTATGAATGTTGTGTCTGTACCGGTGGCAAACATGTCCTAGAAAGCCAATGAATATTGTATCAAAGAACACATAGATAGAGATATTAAAGATAATGATTCATTTCGTAAATTGCTATTAAAAAATAACCACTATTGTTGGTTGGTATGCAAATTCCAACGCTGCAAAACATTTTATTGAAAGATGAAGTCAATATATTACATAACATAGAGATAGGTAATAGAAACAATTTCAATTTTGTAGTCTTAAAAGGAAAAAAAAAAAACATGATTGATTTAGCTTACAATTACAATCGTATAAATTTGTTAAAAAAGCAAAGATCGTGAAAGATGATTAAGCCATTGATTACATTGTCACTTTTGTTTTGTTTTCTCTTTTTTTTTTTTGTTGGTTATGGGGGAGGGATGGGGGGTAGGGTAATTCTGAACTAGGCGTTGGTTTCATTTTTAAAAGTCAAACAGAATTACAATCAAGATCAGGCCGAAATCCTACATATTTATTCATGCATAAATAAGGAAAGCTCAGCTATGCATCTCATCTCTATAAAAAGAAAAGATCAAACACTTTATGATTAGCAATATCAAACTATATTTCGTAAATTGTAACTAGAGCCTGTTCTAAGCTGTAACCGTGAAAAGGCATGCAAGAGTGATCCAAAATCTTGAAATATCTCCTTCATCTATTGGTTTCCTCTACTTCAGTTCATTGGAACTTATATCGCTATTCATTAATAAATGAAAAACAATTTCCACTATTTCGATGTGCGAAGAACAAATCACAATTAAGACACCAATTTGCCAAAGCAATCATGACAACCCAGCAGAGCTTGGAGTCTATGGCTCTGATATCATGATACATATCCTACGCTCACACAAACCACAACTGGAAGTATGATTCTTGTGGCTGAACTATCAGAAAAAATAAAGAACAAAAAAAAAAAACGCTAATATTATAAGAGAACTAAAAAAGGCATTCCTTTTAAAGCATTTTTTATTCTAGTAAAATCAGTGGCGGTTTCTTTCAATAAAATATCATATTCAAGGAGCATCTTGATTTTCACCAAACAGTGAAATTTGTATATTATTAAAGAATTAATCTGCAATGCTTCCAATTCGATTGATTGCAATTTAAAAAACCAAACTGATCAAGTAACGTTAGAAAATGAATTGATGCATGGTTTGGAGGTTAACCACTCGTTTGTCCAACTACCAACAAGCTTTGAGTCATTGGCAAAAGGCCTCTCTAGAGACATAGCAACAAGGGGGTGGGTAAACTTTTTATGTGGTTTTACACACATGTAAAAGATATGTGATTGTGTTTTCTCGTTGTCTGATCTAAAAAGAACTAATGTTTTTCTTGTGTTAAAATACGTTTTGCTCTCAATTGTCTGATTCTTGATCAGACAATTAAGTGTATGTCCATGCATTTAATTTTACAATTTTTATAGTACATTAGTTTGTGTTCAAATTTATAGTGAGAAATTACAACGAAGGTGGGTCAATGTACCTTTTTTTTATTTTTTTCAAAATTATCCTTTGATCGAAGGATGGAATCCTCAGTAATTTTAATTTTTTTTAGTGTTGTTGTTAGTAGGGCAGTGCCTTAAATTTAAAAGTAGTGCCCTACTAACGAAAAAAATTAAAAAAAATTAAAAAAAAATTAAAATTCGGTCCAAGAATTTCCTTGGGCCGAGGGGCAATTTTGAAAAAGAAAAAACGAAAAAAGAAAAGGTTGTTACGAAATTTTTTTTAAAGAAAATTAAAATTCGGTCCAAGAATATCCTTGGGCCAAGGGGCAATTTTGAAAAAAAAAAAAAAAAAAAAGTTGAAAGACCTTTGTAATTTCCACCTCCAGGAGCATTTTTATTTTAGAAAAAAATTTAACGCCCATACGTAAATCACTCTTAAAAATATAAACAATTGACAAAAATAAATAACAATATACCTTTGAAGTATTTAGGGGTATTTTTCTTATTTTTAGTTTTTAAAATTTTTTTATATTGTTTGCTTGTGCAACGTAGTAAATCATACTCACCCTAAAAATTTTATCATGATTCTCTTTCTTATTAAATTATAAAATTCAAACAATGTTTTATGCACTCCAGTGTTCTATCAAAAAAATCAAAGATTAAATGACGTCAAGAAAAAAAAAAAGAAAAAAAAGAAAAAGGCAAAAGTGGGGTTTGGTGAACTTGTCTTCGGAGTACATGAGGACCACAAATATAGATTGAATCTTGGAAAAGTCCACAATGATCAAGATTGAGTGCGGAGACTCTATATCATATTGATTTAGTGGAGCAACGTCTTAGAGGAATGCAAAGAGTGATGTTATGGAATGTGACCCTTTGGTATGCCTGCTCTCTCTCACTACCGCTGCAGTACTTGAATAGTGCGCTAAGAGGCTTAATTGCAATTGATTTCTAAGGAACATATCACTCAATTAAAGTAATGAGCAGTACAAAAGGACAACATTTAACTTTTGTAATATGAGGTTATAATGATTTCCAGCTGCTAAATGTAAAGTTGGGTGGCTAGAGGTGTCTTACTAATCAAGTTCGTTATGCACAAAAAATTTTTTTTGAACTTTATTATGCATTCAAGACGGTTAGATTTCACATATTAATAAAGGTTGTTGTGAACTCTTCGTACTTGAGATAAAATGATCCTTCACATCGTTCTCACCAACCTTCGATTTCCTGCGGTGATCCTCGATCACTTGATCAAAAAATCGATCAAAATCCTTGAAAGTCTTCTTCATCCTCGATGCCATTCCCGTGATCAAATTCAACCATCCTTCTAAATAGGGGAAAAAATCTCCCAAACTAAAACCTCCTAACAGTACTTGTTACTCTTCTAACATCCGCTTGAACTCCCTCTCATACTCCCCACCTTCGCAGTAGTTCTTCCCTAATGCAACACGGCATATTTGGTGAGGTCGACTTCGCCCACCCTGCATGATGAACGTATTGAGCTCACCAAATGTGCTGCTTCTTGTTCTCTCATGGATCTGAAGGATTGCACCCTCTTTGTGCTGAATAGCTCCAGGATGCATATCTTTCTCACTTGGGGAGAAAACCATTACTCAAATGAAAGACGAGCACTAGTTTGATTTTCGAATTCTCTTAAAAAAAAGAGCAATTTACGTATCGACCGAAATGCTTCATTTATAGGGAAAAAACCATTACTCAAATGAAAGACGTGCACTAGTTTGATTTTCGAATTCTCTTAAAAGAAAGGGCAATTTACGTACCGACCGAAATGCTTCATTTATAGGGAGAAAACCATTACTCAAATGAAAGACAAGCACTAGTTTGATTTTCGAATTCTCTTAAAAGAAAGAGCAATTTATGTATCGACCGAAATGCTTCATTTATAGGGAGAAAACCATTACTCAAATGAAAGACGAGCACTAGTTTGATTTTCGAATTCTCTTAAAAGAAAGAGCAATTTACGTATAGACCGAAATGCTTCATTTATTGGTAGAAATTACAAAGAAAGTCGATCAACTCGCCTTTTTTTTTTCAAAATTACCTTTCGATCCGTGGACATTCTTGCACTGAATTTTTATTTTTATTTTATTTTAGGTTTTTTGTTTGTAGGGCACTGCCCTAATGCTTGAGGTAATGCCCTATAAACAAAAAACTAAAAGAAAAAAAAAAAAGTAAAATTCATATTGAGGATGCTATCTTTATACTGAGGAGCAATTTTGGAAATAATAAAAAAAGTGGGTTGAAAGTGGAGTATTTTGTATTTTAGAAAAAATTATAGGGACCGTACATAAATCACTCTAAAAAAAGAGTAAAATGTTAATCTTAGCTTAGAAAACCATTGCAGTTATCGATTCAACTAAATTATTACATTAAAAAGACCATTTAATGCAAGGCCTTCCCTCTTTTATTTTATCTGAAAAGATGTACTTCAATATATAGAATCCTATACAAGGTGGATGTATCAAGTAATTATCGTTTTTAGATGGCTCAAGCCAGATGGCATAAATACTATTATGTGTTCAAGTTTTTTACTTCCGTAAAAGATGATTTATATCATTTCACTTGATTTAGGTACTCTGACCTAAATGATAAAATTATCTCAAATTGTTTCGTGATCCAAACCAAGAACATGTGTTTTTCTCAAAAAAATCGCATGCTTAGGGTTTGGAATCAGGAACAAGTGGGATATTTTCTCAATAAAATAGATGTATTATGAGAGAAATTTCTAAAATAACACCGCTAGTTGAAGATTCCAAACAATAAATTGGCACATTTTGAGCATAGTTGAGGAGGTATTTAAGTGAAGGATCTTATTCACAGATTCTAGATCTCCTAGGTAATCTTTTCATATTACCTTTAGACCAAGAAAACCTTTTCAATAATAAAACACCAAGGCATGTAAAAGGGTACCATAAAGGCCGTGTCGTTATACATACCATCGGCAACAATTTGTACGTGTAGAGAAAAAATGTAGAAAATTTAGTAAAGAACTAAAGTAAGGATAATATTAGCGAATGCTTCTTCAAAAGCAACCATTGTAAACAACTTTAACCCACTCAATTTACTTTCATGAAAAAAATGCAACTGTTATAAATGGATTCGGATTTAGTTATAGGGAAAATATCTTCATACTTTTATTTTTAGGTTTCATTTCACAATAGCTTCAAGGTTTTAAAAGATATCTTAAAGCATAAAAATTGTAGATTTTATTTCTTCTAATCCTCAGAGCTAATTTAAACCTTTTTTTTTAGGTCCAACAAATCTAAAAAGACGAGCTTTTTTTAAAAGTCATCCTCCTAAATTTTTATAGAGAGTGACGGGCTTCATAGAAGTGAGAGGTTATCCGGAAGAGAGAGAGAGAGGGAGGTGTTTGGAAAAATATGGAGGAGAGAAATAATGAGAGAGGCATGAAGAGAGAAAAAGAGAGAAATTTGGGGTATATAAGTAAAGAGAGATGATTGGGTTTAAAAAGATTATGTCTTTCTCACATTTGTTTAGATTAAAAAATAGGTTTAAAGTGGCAAAGGGTTGGAAAATATCTTTTGAAACCTTGAGTTTATCAAGAAATGAAATCTAAAAATAGGGGATATAGAAATATTTTTCCTTATTTATATATAAGGGACGTCAGAGATATAAAAAAAATTTGATATACTTATCTTACAATATTAAGCCACGGTTAAGAGAGGATACATGTCACAAGAAAATAAAGGGACCTAATACTATAGAAATAGTAGGATAGGTGTGCCTTTTAAGGGGGATGGTCTACAATGCGACTATTTACTTTTGCTACAGGGAGGTCACAATTACTTATAACCATCCGATGTGAAATTTGATATCTAAATGTGTCACAAAGTTCGAGAAAATCTTTTGAACTTTGAGCTTAGTCAATGAAATATATGCAGCCACCCAATTTCACATCCAATGGTCATGATTAATTGTAACCACTTTGTATCAGAGGTAATTGGTCTCATTAGACAAATCACGATATGATGCACCTCAAAATCTCATTAGAAGATGTATTTTCAATGCCAAAACTCTTATTATGACCTAAAAGTCTATTTTTCACCCCTATAATAAAGTTGAAAGCTTTGAAAATGTTGTAAATCTAGTAGATTTATGAACATTCGAAAATCTTGAAAATGGATAGTCTAAATAATGTATTATAAGAGGCACCTATTTTTAAAACTTGAAATTCAATTTTTCTTTCATATTCATGTATATCAAGATCATGATAATCAATTGGAGAATTTTCTATTGATGAAACATCGTCTTTCAATACGTTTTTTAGGTGCTTCTACAGTTGACACCTCATAAACTTTTTCCTCCAAAATAATTTTTTTGTTTTGAAACTTTTTACCAAGCGTCCCCCACAAACAGAGCGTAATTGCTCCGCAGTTTCGACCCGCAATCAACGATGATCTTATTTAATATTAATTCTCTCTCTTGAGTGTTAACAATGAAGGACAAAAAGATGGTCCCCTCACCAAACGTTTTTTCAATAATTCATACGCTAAATTTACCCCTTTCGACAAAAAAAAAAAATGGTAAAATTTTAGAGAGAAATAGAAGAGGGGACACAATCCGTTTTTTTCAGGGAAAACAAAGATCTTTTGATAAATAAGGAAAAACATAAAAAAGCTTAAAGTATAATTGGATTGGTGAAACAATTTTGCGATCCCCACAATAAATTTGCAAATCATTAACCAATCCAATATTTCTTTTATGTTATGCTTGTTTTTATTTAATTTTACTTGCATCAAATTGTTGGTTATTTCAATCCAATATCCCGTCTTCATTTCTTGAGATTGTATTAGATTCGGCTTTTCACACACACAAGTTTCTCGTGGATTCAGTGCTTCTAGTTTTATTCTCTCTCTCTCTCTCTCCGTCTCTCGGATTGGATTTTTTATTTTTCATTCTCTCTCCCTCTGCCCCGTCTCTTTCTCTCTCTCTGATTGGGAACTGATTCTGCCCCAACTATACATTAAATACGATACTCCTAAAAAAATATAATATTAATAAAAATCAGAATTAAAATTAATAATTATTTCAATAAATCAATTTTCAAGAAAAAAAGAAAATAAGAAATGAGTATGTAAGACCTATTTACAAATGCAAATGGCATTATAGATTATAAAACTAAAAAATAATTTTTTTAAAGTTAGATACGCCTATTTTTAGCAATTAATTTTATTTTAAATTTCATTTTGATTGTAGAATGAGTGTAATGGATAAACATTCTAACATGGGACGTGTTCTTAGTATTTATGTATTTTTGTTAAAATAATGAAAACCTGTAATGTAATATTTTTTTTTGTTTTTTTTGGAAAACTATAAGCTTTAGATTTTCAAGAAATTTTAGTGATGTTTTTATATTTTTTTAAAGCTGGATACGGCTGATCTGGCCGATTCATACATCTGGAACATCGATCCGCCAATCCAAAATAGTTTTCCTGATGGACAAACGAGGTCACCAATCCATTTTTTTAAAACAGTATTTTTAGGTTACATGTGGCAGTTTTGCCACTTTTCTCAAAATCTGAATCATTGGAGGTGGATCGTCCACCCCGCAAATCCATGTTAAATAAGTGGATCGGTGATTTCAAGTCAGAAAAATATTTTTAAAAAAAAATAAAAAAAAATTAAATAGTGGTTTGTAGTGTGGGGAATTAGGGGAATAAAAAAGTATTAGCTAAACTTGACCAAAAACATTATGGTGTAGGGGGACGGACCGGGCCCGGACCAACATTTACCTTGTACTGGTTTGGTCATATCCAATTCGCCATCCCAATAAAAAATTCCATGTCCAGATTGTAGGATTTAAATTTCAGAATGACTATATTGGTTTGTACTTCAAAATTGGTGCAGTTCTATATATTGGTTTAGATCCTATACAATTTAAGGTTTCTTAAATACGGAATGTCTCAACATAAAGCAATGCCCGAGGCCTCATATATTTCCATCCGTTTTCTCATCCGGCTCGAACCCAAATCACCTATTAAAACATGGAAATGATCCTCACCTGCCTCCAATAAGGGCCATAGGGCGCGAATGCAATGTCAGTGGACCCATAGAACAGTTGCTGTGTTGCACAGAGTGTCCGTCGGCTCGCGAGAGCGGCATCATGCATCTTGAGTGCCTCTTTTGCCATCTCAGCGGACGATAACACGCAGGTTGGGAGCTCACCGAGGCGGACGTAAATGATGGGGCCATGTTGACGGGCAAGCTCGGCGAGCAACAAGTGTGGCGCACTGCCAAGGCGGTGTAAGCTTCCGATCATAGGCAAATTCAAGGGACCAGGAGGGAGGTTATCCCTCCATCCCTATTGCCTTCTGATGAGTTTCAATATGAGGAGAAGCAAAGGTAAGGCAAGGGCTAGCAGGCACATTTGCAGTGGAGACATGGAAATTAGGACTTCAAAAGGGGTTTCTTCTTCAGTAAAACCTTCTGTTAAATATGGCTGAGTGTTTTATGAGGGGATATGGAGGAGTAACTAATTGATTGGAAATTTATCGGAGAGAGTAGGGAATCTCTGAGGATGTGTTGTCTTGGACACTAACGGGAAATTTGGCAATGAAGTCTAAACTTTGTTGTATGCCTATGGAAAAGCTGCTGTCAAGGTGAGAAATGATACCTACGAATATGGATTCCCTACACTATATGTTAGTGAAATCAAGACAACAGGATCGCTATCAATCAATTTTCCAATGGACCCGGACCTGACCTGAGACTCTGTAGAAACGAAAAGCAATTCACGAAAACAAAAAAGAAAAAACAAACACAAAAGAAAGAGACAACCAACTACAACACAAAGATATACGTGGTCCGGCAACGTGCCTACATCCACCGGAGATTAGAGCTTCTTTACTGGCAATGAAAATAGGGTTAGTACAATACGCTCTCTTCCTCATGCCTCTCTATTTTTATTTAATTATAAAGAGATCTGCATTTTTTCTTTAACCCTTAACCCTAGATGAACCCCCAATCGCAACAATATATATCGAGTCTTAGATAGATGGTATAAATTATTGAAATACCCTTGTACGGATATATATATATCAAGTCCTAGATATATCGAATCCCATATACGAATATATCCGAATTTTTCTTCGGGGTCTGCTGTCCCCGAACCTCCGCAGGGGCCGAGTCCATCAAGTTAACCTGTCAAGACGACTCCTCCAGGCCTCAAGCCCTATGGGCCTTCGGCCCTTCGGCCTTTTAACGGCCCTCCAGAATAGTCTTTTTGACTCCACCTTGACAGATCTATTTCCTCATAATACAAGACATCAATCCTCAACAAACTCCACCTTGGCTTGATTTTGTCGAGCTATCTTGAAGATGTCTTCATCCCTGTACGTCCACAAAGGTATGCTGCTACACCCCCAACTGCCATGAGGTGCTTCCCTCACTCTCAACAATGAGAGACATTAAGCAAGTCCAAGCAAAGCATGAACTTCTCCATAGTGACCGACTTTGTAAATATATCTGCAGAGTTGTCATTTGTATGAATTATCTTCAGGTGAATGATTCCTTCTGATACAAGCTGTCATGCCTCAAGATTTCTAACATTCCCAAGGTGCAACAAACTATTCTTATACTAGGAAAAATTTAAATTCCTATTAATATATATTGTAACAAAACAAATTTTTCGATTAATTACAAATTGTACAAAGTTTGCTCACAACTGGTATCAACATGAAGACTAGGTATACATCTGTTGATAGAACAAAAAATTTACAGTGGTGAAGTTAAACAAAAGTTACAAAGAAAAATTTAGTTATGACATGACTGCATCTTCTTCACAAGCTGGTCCTGATATGCATTTAACTATGAGACTGCAATTACCCTGAAAAATATTTACCATAGTTTGGTGAGTTTGGGTACTCAGTAAGTGATCATCATGGTCCTAAAAATAATCATGGTTCGAAGATATAAACATTTTCTGAAGAATGTATGCCAAAAAAAAAACAACATGAGGAAGAATTACGAGCAAAAGCATTTATAGATAACAATTGCACTTTCATAAATCCACAGTTAAACATAATCCAAATGATGGAAATGCATACAAACATTTTAACAGAGATGCATAATTCAAAAGATTCGACAAAATACCCTACTAGCGTCTCAAGTAGGTCACCTATATACCCCACTATTGTCCTGATGGGTCCAAACAACCCCTGTAGGTCCAAACGTACTTCACCGGCGTACCGGATAAGTCTAAATAGCCCCTAGCAGATAGGTCTAAAAATTCCATGTAGGTCGAAACATGCCTCACCGGCGTCCCTGATGAGTCCAAATAGTCCCTACTGGCGTAACCGCATAGGTCCTAACAATCCCTGCAGGTCCGATTATACATCACCGACGTTCGGGATGAGTCCAAATAGTCCCTACCGACATAACCAGATAGGTCTTAACGATCACTGTAGGTCCACTTATACTCAAATTATCTCTGAAACTCTTTAAACATCAGAAAATAACAATATCATATATGCGAAGTATCATTGAAAACATTAATATAAATTCACTTGAAGCAATTTAATAACAATCACTTCCATTGAAATATCTCTAAGTAGCCTTTTAAACATTTTGTGCAATAATTTCTAAAAGGTAAAAGTTATGAAGGACATTCTTGAAATTTAACATGATAACAGTCTAGTATCAATAGACGAACTTTTATGAAAATCCAAAATTAAATACGGAATTATCACAATTTATGGAATTGTCAATTTGTAAATAATCATTTCATAGGCAATACGACAATCAAGTGGAAAAATATCAGTTTTTCAAATAATGAGGCAGACATTTGCATATGAATTTTAAAATGTCTAAATATTAAAAAACAATAGAAAGAAATCTCATAATTTTACTAAAAGCAGAAATATCACCTTTATTTCTAATAATTTACAGCATTTAAAATTCCTAATAATAGATAAAATATCACAATTTTACTAAAAATATTATTTTTTAAAACAATGAGGTCACTTATACACAAAGCTTATAAAATAAAGATGCTGGATAGAAATATCACTATTTATTAAAAACTGATTATTTTTCAAAAGAATGTGATCACTTACCTATAATATTTGAGAGGGAACTTCGATAAAATTTGGCTAGAAAGAGAGAAGAGCGGTGAGAGCACCATGGATAGGATCTTGAGAGGAAGTAAAGCTTTGGATTCAAAAGAATGGCATGGGTTGTAGCACATGAGGTTTTCAACTGTCGATCACATATGAGAGATAGTTAGGTTGTCTCAAGAAATCTTGAACAGATACAGGAGGCTAGTGACTTATGAGGTTTTCAATGGAAAACCTGAACATTTCAGCCATGGCAAGGGATAATGGGTAGGTAGAAGGAACAATTGTAGAGAGAGAACATACTAGATGGAAGAAAGAGATTAAAGAGAGAGAGAGAGAGTACATTGAAAACAAAATAATAACTTAGAGAGAGAGAGTACGGTACCAGAGAAAGACTTTTCAATGACACTCCTTAGATCAACAGAAAACTTATTTATAAAGCATCCATGCATGATGCAAAGCATGCCACATCATTTAACATATATCGAAAGAGGATTAAGCGAAACATATGGTAATGCCACCACACAATATGACAACTAATGCAACATCTTTTGGAGGCACGTCAGCCTCACCATGCCCATTACGCTTGCAAGAAGAAATGTTTTAGAAGCTTTACATTCAATTATGGTAAAAGAGCTGATGGACCAAAGGTGCACCTTAAAGAAATGGACTAGCATCAAAAAATTTGAGAAAACAGTAGCTTTGAATTATTAATCAAATATCCACGACACGTGGGTCCATATTTAAATTGAGGAGTAATTTTACGTGAGAGAAAAGATGGTCCTTATGGTGCATTTTGTCACCATGAATTATCGTTCTAAATATTTCATTATGTATTTTATTTTATTTCATTTATTTATTTATTTTTATTGTATTTATTTTACTAACACCATTATTATTAGTTTTCAATTTTTTTTAAAAAAAAATTAGGGTCGTCATAATCTCCTCCCCTTAAAGAATTTTAGTCCTCTAAATTTGTGTACCTGATTATTGAAAAAGATAGGGATATTTTTCTCTGATTTCGTCTTTTTATTCTCAAGTCGACTCCTCTCTTGAATGGTACTGCTATAATATACGGACCAAAGGAATCTCCTTGTTGCGCAACACTTGTACCCTCCTATTCAGTATCAAAATTGGCTGCTCAATGAAGGAGTAGTACTTCCTGAACGATAAAGGTTCATATTTCAAGATATGGGATGGGTCGGACTGATATTTTCATAATGAAGAT